ATATATATATATAATTATATATTATATAATATTAATTTGAATAAAATGTTTACCTGAATATTAGCCGGTGCAGAATACCAGCGCCATCCTCGGGATATGGCCTCTCTAACTTCCGGTGTATTTCCCGCAGCTCACTTTTCCTTGTCGACAACTGCTGCGTGAAATTCGCGAGATCCTCCAGCGTGCACTCGACGTTCTCCTCGCTCATGGCGTCCAGGAAACGCTCCAGCTCGTCCTCGAGGCAAAGCGCGGATCCGTCCTTCGATCTGATGGCGTTGTGCGCCTTCCTCACGTCCCGGAAGATCCCGTGATTCGGAAACGAGCCGAGTTTCGCGATGGCCTCTCGCAGCACGTCTCTCTGCTCCACCACGAGATACTCGAGCAGACTCGCGGCGATCTCGCTGACGCCACTCGTATCCGACTGCACCAGACCGATCAGGTTCGTCACGATGAATCGTAGAACGTCCCGGACCTCCGCGGCTCTCGCGGGCAGCGCTCGTCGCAGGAACGTATCCAGGAACTTGCAGCACGCCGCGACGAGCACCTCGTCGCCGTCCTCACCGCCGCTCCTGGTGAGATGCAACAAGCTGTAGCACACATCGCGGATCAGGAACGCGGCCATCTCGTCGAAGGCGGGACTCGCCAGCTCGTCCGTCAACCGCGAGCAGAAGTACGTGTACTGATGCAGCCGCTTGAGCTTACCCTCGCGCGAGCGCGACGAGTGTACGGCGCTCGCGAGCCGTAACAGCGTTCCTTGCAGCGTCCCCGGTTGTTGCTCGACCAGCGTGCGGGTGTTCAGGAAATTGCGCTTCTCCAGATAATCGAAGCACATATCCAGTGCGCCACGTGAGAAATGCGGCGGATCCGTCGCCGGGAAGCACGCGGACGGGATCGAGAGAACGCGGCCAAAGTCGTCCTCGTCGTGCAGCCGCCGTATCAGTTCCACGAGAACGTCCTGCAGATGGGAACGGTACATCTGCTTGAAATTGCACGTGTTCGCGAACTCATCCGTGTTATTCATCATCTTGCGCATTGTCTCGATGGCTTCGACATCAAATACAATGGCGCGCGATATCAGCCACACGAAGCAGGACGGAAAGACGTCCTCGAAGATCTCGTGGAAGGCCGCATCGGCACGCTCCGTGCAGAAGGACATGGCCTCGCCGATGTCCGAAATGCGAGTTAGAACTGGGACGATGCAGTTGATATTATTTTTAAAGAACTCGCCGACGGTCTCGCATCCTGTACACATTAATTTTGGCCCTCAATTTACATCAAAGACTGATTTATATTACACACTGTAAATATAAAATATCTTTTTAATCTTAAAATTGATTTAAAAAATTCTTACTTATACTAGGGCTGGTGATTTGCTTCGAAGACTTCGACATTCGAACTTCGAAGCTTCGGCATTAAAATCTTCGAATTCTTTCGAAGCTTCGAAGGCACCTTAAACTTCGAAAGATCGAAATTAACGTCGAAGCTTCGAATATTCGAAGTGAGTAGAAAGTAACAGCCCTAACTTACGCACATCATTCAAGTGGATAAAAATTTTCACAATATCAAGTCAGTAAATAACGAAATTTTTTTTTTATAAAACCACCGTTGTATCAATATTGCATCAAGTCAACCGATACGTTCTTACCTACGAGCGTCCATGGAAAGGTCTGCAATGGATAATGCGCATCCTCGAGCCAGGAGGTCAGCAAATAATTCAAGTTATCCTTGACGAGCGACTCGTACGTCGTCGTGTATTGCGCCGCTGTCGAGAGGACTTTCTGTACCATCTGTATGTTCACCTCCTTCTCTATCGTTAATCGCAACATTCTGTACAGGGCGCGACCCTGAAGAACTCCGCTTGCACACGCCACGGAGGCCAGCGCGATCAACGCGGTGGCCGTCCTCGTTTCTTTTTCATCCTGCAGTTGACTCTCCATCAGACTGCTGATATTCCACAAAAATATAAACGAAAAAGGAATTACAAGTGCTGACACTCGCAGCTACATTATTTTGTTATTCTAAATCATACGCGAATAGTAAAAATTATCATAAAAAAGAAAGTATTTATGTAAGTTTTTATAAAAGCAGTTCGTTAAAAGTATTATTATCTAACTTATTTTAATACTGCTCTCTTTCAAATATTTATATCTTCTTATACTATTTTAACGTACTTCTGCAAATCGGAATTCGATTGTTGGGCCGTCTCGTCGAGCAGCTTGAACACTTCTTCCTCCACCTTGACGAAGATCCGTTCCTGCCATTTATGAGCGATGTTTCTGAAGGACAGGAGCTCCTGCAGGCATTGTACCGCTTGCGAACGGAGCACGAAGAGCGTATCGCTGATGTAACAGAGGACGCTGTCCAGTATCGTCAGAACGTCGTGGTCGTAGTCGTCGGAGACGCGACTCCACGAGAAGTCTGGATCGATTCGCACGTAGCCGCACGCGCACTCCATGTAGCTCGCGTGCACGAGAACGCTGCAGTTTCGCTTACGATAAATACGATCGTGAAGCTGTTCGAGCGCATGGACGAGCTCCTTGGGCGAATAGCCGGGTAATTTGATCGCGTACTCGAAGAAGTACGGTAGCAGATTCAACAGCCGTCGCAACGATTCCGCGTCTCTGCAACTCTTCTCTCCGGCGTAGCGGCACATCTCCAGCAGAAATTTCAACGGCAAATCCGCGTAATCGCGCTGGATCTCGTCGTGATTGCGCGCAACGAGCAACTCGAGGATCAACAGCGATATCCCGGAGTCCACGTAGCTCGTCAAGTCCCACTGCGTGGTCAGCAGATTGTTCTGCATCTTATTCTGCAACGAGGTCTTGCTGCGATCCGCGTCGACGTGCAGAGCGCAGAAGGACGACAGGGTCTCCACGATCTGCAGATGAATCGCGTCCTCGCGCGGAAAGCTCGGCTTCGGGTCCGACGTGTCCAGATACATGCTGCAGGCGGAGCGCTTGCGTCTTCCCTGAGAATACGGGATGTTACTCATTAAAATCAATCTCTTCGTTAGACAAAAACGAAGTTTTCTTTCTGTTTAATTTACCTGGTAAGTGTTATGATCCTCGTAATAATCGTAATTGTGATAATTGTCGTCCTGTAGATTCAGCATATCGAATATGTTTTTTATCATGTCCATCGTAGACGCAGAGACGATTATTTTAGCGATTTCCGTATCGTAGGTCGCTCCATAGAGCATTCTCAATGCTCTGGCTATGCTCAGGTAGATGGGCTTATATCTGCGAGGAAATATATTTTATGTAACGGAGATATCGAACACATTTGTAGGTATTTCGAGCTAGAAATAGTAGTAGAAGTGAAGAACAATAAAAGATTAAGTGCAGTTCTAATCAGTATAATAGTAACTACAAAATTTAGAAGTAGCATCGAAATTTGAAATCATCGTAACGATTCTTTTAGATGCTTCTAAAAAGAGAAAAAATGAAGAACTTTTTTTGCTGTATTAAAATTTAGACCTAGAAATAGTAGTAGAAGTGAAGAACAATAAAACGTTAAGTGCAGTTCTAATCTTCTAATCAGTGCACCACAAAATTTAGAAGTAACATCAAAATTCGAAAGCATCGTAACGATTCCTTCAGGTACTTATAAAAATAGAAAAAATAACTTTTTCGTTCTATTAAAACTACGCTACCTGCCCCAGACGATTTTCGCCAAAGAATCGAAACTGCATTTCAATTGCTTCTCCATCGCATCGATCAGCGGACAGTGGCCGGCGGTATCCTCCGCCGTGAGAATGTTCAGCTGCTTCAATGCGGACAGTAATCTCGCCACGAGCGCGAGCTTCATCAGTACGATGTAGATTTCGAACTTATTCTCGTCGTTCGAACCTTCCTCTTGAATAATGCTGTGCGTCCGCTTCATCAGAAAGTTGAACACCTCCTGCACGTAGAAGATGGAGTTTCCCGTGTCGGACACCGTCCCGGAATCTCGTTCGACATGCCTGCTCTTCGAGTGCTTCACCGACAGCTCCACCTTGAACGTCAAGGACGCGTGACAGAGTTGCGGGAGATCTGTCGAGTGGATGTCTCGATGCGGCACGAAAGCGATCGCACGCGCTTTCTCGCGATTCTGCGAGGATCCCTGCTCCGTCTTGGTGGTGCTCGGTCTGTGACGAGATCGCTGAACGAGGTTCACCGACAACGCGCAGATGTCCTCGACAGTCTCGACGGACAGTCGCGTTGCCTGCTTCTGCCACGGTATATTCAGCAGCCACTCCAGAAGGCGCGTTCGGTCGCAAATCGGCTCCGTTATCATCGAGGGCGACGAATCCAGCACCGACGTGGACGCGTCCGTCGGCAGGGTGACACGCTCGCACAGCTGTTGCAGCGTGTGCACGCTGTTCGGCGACCAGCGGATCGTCTTGGTCAGGTATAACCTGAGGAGAGCGTTCGCGTTCGGCAGCCTGTTGTATTTTATGAAGTGGCGGATTAACAAATGGCCCGACTCCTCGTTCTGGTTTGCCCCCAGAGATCTGCAAGAATAGTTTCGTTGCAATTGTTACTCATAATAAAACATAACATGTAAACGTTGGAAATAAATTATGTTCCTAAAAACAAGTATTTAGACAATATATAATTTTTTTTACATTTTAATTAAACAAATTTTAACAATTTTCAATAAAATTTGAAAATTTGAATTATGGCACGCACCTAAGCAGCATGTCCCAGATCTTGTTCCAGTGAATGGTGGCGTCCTGTACTTCATCTCCATTGGACATCTCGTTCTCCATGAGCACAGCAGCCAGATTGTACAAATTGTTCATGACGGATTCGTCGCGGGACACAGCGAGCTCTGTCAGGCGTTGCAGCAAAGGCGCGAGATCCTGCGGTCTCAGGCACTGGGGATACTTCCTTAATGTTTCAGTCAGAATTTTTAGCAACGACCACACTTCCTCGGGATTGCTCTCCGTTATCAGGTCGACGACGTTTTCAATTCTGTTCACAATTCGTCTTCGTTTGGCTTGAGAATAAGAGGCGTCGACAGAGCAAGTGAAATTTGTCGAGTTGTCCACCATCTGTTTTATGACTGGAAAAAAAATATATAACAGTTTGTTAAATTAATAACTTATTCGATTACAATTAAATCGTGATACAATTTATTATTACAACTAAATCTCTCATAAATACAGAATGAAATATATTAAGGCAGTGATTATTAATTACGTGATTAACAATTCCGAGAGTTAATTATTTAATTTTATTTATGTTGTATTTCTTTGCAAAGAATATAACATAATGGCATTTAGTTTAGATAAATTTTTAAATTTGTAGAATAATGCTGCCAAAAAGAAATTTTTTATGTAATTAATAAAATAATCAAATAAAAAAATTTCTTTTTGGCAGCATTATTCTACAAATTTAAAAATGTATCTAATCTAAATGTTATTATGTTGTATTCTTTACAAAAAAAATACAACATAAATAAAATTAAATAATTAACTCTCAGAATTGTTAACCGATAATAATCACTGCCTTAATATATTTCATTCTGTATTTATGAGAGATTTAGTTGTAATAAAGAATTGAGTAATGATAGTTATTATTCACATGGATAATTAATATTTTTACCAATTTTTAACGTGGGATATTAACTAAGTATTATGTATGTGTATGCTGAAAAATGGTACCTTCACTGGCAAACTGGATAAAACTGCGCCATTGCACGTCCAATTTGCAGTTCTCCAGAATAAGCAGATACATGCTACGCAGCAAATCCCTCCACTTATTCCAGTTGAATGCATAAGCGCCGTTTTCTTGCCTAGAGATACCGTCCGGATGGTGAATCTGTAGGAAGATCAACAACAGCCTATACTTTTCCTCAAAGCCGTTCAAACGCAAGATATCCATCGATATGCCCTCGCTAAACTTGCAAAGCATGATTCTGGACTCCGTCGTGATTTGCCTGCATACGCTGGCGCTCAGCTTGCAGAAGGACTCTGTCAGCTGCTCGTTGCCGGCACGAGCATCTTGGATCACATCTTTGGAGATAGTTTCTGAAACGTGAAATCCCTTTACTCAGTATCAGTTCTGAAATTGATGTGGAATAACAGCTTCGTTGCATTCGTTAACATACATATACTCTCTTTCAGAGTAGTTTAGGAGAATGATCCGAAAGTTCTAGCGTACCCAGAAATAACGGTAAGCTCTTTACGGACGAAAGAAGTAAATTCGTGTGGAAGGAGGAATAATCGACGATCATCTGCAACGCGTCCAACACGATGTGGCTCTGAAGATGTGCCTTTTTGTACAGCTTGGTGCAAACGTTCAACAGCTCGCTCCATTGACTCGCCGCGACATTACTGTGATTCGCATTCTTGGGCAGTATATATTTCACCAATATTCTCAAATATGTATCCTGATAATACACGTAGACCTTAGAGTCCAATATCTGCAATATTAACGCGACTATGTCGTTGCTTCTCAGATGATATGATGATGTTTCGCTGGATCGACGAATCGTGTCGATCATCAGACTAATGAGAGATTGCCTGTCATTGTTCTTGGCCGTCTCTTTACGAGGCTTCTCTGCTTCCTATATCGTTTTGGATTCAAACAGAATATCGACAGATGAATAAAATTGTAAATATAAAGGACGTGCAAAATATTAGAGGAAACATATTCCATGTGGACTTTCGATATATATATTAAAATTCTTCTTACATCAATAATCAGCTTGTGAACAATGTCTATAATACAGGGCCAGGTGGCCTTCCCTTGAACTTTCATCTCTGTATTCTGGGATATCTCTGCAATAACGTCGTCATTTTTATATGCATCCAGCAGTTCAGTTACACATTTCTGTAAGTTGACAGACTTTTGTTAATGGACTTTCTGAAACAGGCTCGCGCCGACAGACTTATTGTTAAAAATTAGTGAAAATAAGTATATAATATATAAATGAAAGTATAGGATAATATCATTATGCAAGTACTTGCATCATGGGGATATATAGTCATAAAATATATGTTTATGTTTTGAAATTAATCATATAGAACAGCCTATTCCCCAATTCTTGTTTTTTAGTACATTAGGATGTATGTTTTTCCTAAGATTCTTAGAAAAAGCACATTCCTAGAACTATCAATACAGCTTCGCAAGTAAGGACAAAACTGACTTGAAACACCATATATATTGTCAAAAATCAAGCCCGTCACAAACAATCGCTATATTTTGTAGATATTAACGAGACGTACAAACGTCTGCAAATGAGGTTATTTTTCTCTGTTATACACTGATCTTTAAATCGAAGATCAAATAATTTTGAATGTCCAATTTAAGCGCAGAGCGAAATTGATTCCTTGATTTGATTTTGACGTAAATAACAATGATTAACAGCGGCGACCATCGAGTGCTTACTCTCTTATCAGTCACTCTCGAGCTATTGGCCAGCATCAGGATGCCGCAAATTCTCTCCGATATTCGCGACATGGTTGCACTTCTCCCGGTGCTCTGGCAGACGTCGACTCATCAGCCGCTGCAAAGTGGATTTGAAACAAAAAAATCACATCGGACTCGGAAAACTGATTGCGAAACATCGAACCGCGTCGAACGCGAACAAAGCGCATCGACAGTTTGGTTCCGTTTGATCCTGCCGCCAGGCGCCAAGCATGCCGCCAAGACCCGCGCTGCACCGGCTGCACCATAGATTGTAGGCGTAATCTAGATAGTCAAACACGCGTCAGAACTTGTGTTTAAAGAAGTAAAGCCGTAATCACATGGCAATCGAGATGAGATTAAAGATTTGACCAATCAAGGCAAAAAAATAATAATACCTGCTTTTATCAATGAGCTTAGGTGCTTTCATGGTAATTTAAATGTGTATTTCTACTATGGTGGGTGCTTTAATTGTAATAGTAAATAGCGTTTCCGGACGGAACGGCTTTTATCGCTCCGAGGGAAGCGATAAATAACGTCACATGCTCTCCTCGTCCAATCAGAAATCTAAAGTAGAGCATGTGACGTCATTAATCGCTGTCGGAACTATCAAATCCGTTCGCGAAAATACTATTTAGAGAGAATTCACACCTTGACAGAAAAGCAGAGAACAGAAAAGCAGAAGCCAATCAGAATTCGCGCTGGTAGTCGACAGTTTCTGCTTTCTGCTTTTTTTCTACCAGCGTGAGTTCTGATTGGCTTCTGCTTTTCTGTCAAGGTTGAATTCTTCCTCAC